ATCTCTGAAACCGCCGATGCACCTTCTCCTTGTCCATGGTCCTGGGCCATGGTTTTCGAGCACCCCCATAATGAATTCAAGGCCACGCAAACAGCACACACCCAATCAACTGTCCAGGCGTCATCTACTACCAATAGAGGGGCTAAGAGCTCACGACGGGTCGGAAGAGGAAAAGTACAAGAGGGTCTGAGTTGCTTCCCTCCCGGTTCATCCCCTTCCGTGGGCTGGCTGCAGAGCGACAAAGACCCCCGTAGGCTCTGCCCCAAAATCTCGCCCATCTCCCATAGTTGCTTGCCAATCACTCCTTTTTGCGAACCACCAAGGTCCGAGGGTGTGCACCCCGCTTTCAACAGGGGTCCGCCCGGCGTCGACGGCGTCTTGTAGTCCGTCAGGCCAGACCATTTCCCTTCGGGAAAATTGCCCGACGCATCAGGTGGGAATGGTTCATCCACAGCGTCATCATACAGGGCACGGGGCCCCGTTTTCGTTGTGCCTGCGTATAGCCCAACCGGCTCACCTCCAGCATGCGTCAGCTTCTTGAAATTAGCGCCACACACTGTAACACCATTCGTGATCAAAGCCAGGGGGTCTGTGCTCTCCCCCATCGTCTCTGCCTGTACAGGGCACTCCCACCCCGTTCCCTTCATAGCTAGGGCTGTCTTGTTCTCCTCAGTCTCATCAGGGCTCTCCGGCCCCGACATAGTCACCCGAGATCCCCTTCCCCTTTTTGCCTTTTCCTTTGCCCTTGTCGCCCTTCTCCGCCTTGTTGCTGTCCTTGCCGCTGCCTTTGCTCCATCATGACCCTGTCTGATGGGCTTGCGCCTCGGCACGCTGCTCTGCCGTGGCTATTTTGAGTTCCTGCCTCGACGAGAGGGTAGCTGTATTGCTTGGAAGGAGTTGCCGGATGCGTCCCTGTGGACTTCCATGACTTTGCCGCTGAACTGACAGGGATTGCTGTAATACGTCGCTTCCTCCCCGTGCAACAAGGAACCGATTGCTAACTCCCCGCCATCCAGGGCTTCCCTGCCCCGATCTGCCTCGTCGCCCATGTGAACTGCTGGTCGGCGTAGCACAGCTCGTAGGGCCGGCGGCCTGGCTGTCCTTCTCATCACCTTCAGCGCCATGACTGCCCTTTTGAGGGGCGCCCTTACCCTTTCCTTTTGCTTGCCTCTGTTGGCCTCGATATACGTGTTGCCAGCCCTTCCACCTCTTGAGAGGTGCGGGATCTCTCGAGTGATACCCCGGCGGTGAGACTGACGGTGTCCGCGGCCTCCTTGGCAAGGGTTTGCGACTGGAGGGTTTCGCTGTCTGCCGCAGCTCAAACTTCTTGGGGTTCTGCTCAACCTCATCGTCCTGACTCCCAACCTCTGGGGGCTCTTCTTCTTCTCCCTCCGGCTCTTCGATCTCGTCGTTCTCCTCCGGCTCTGTGCCAACGACCTCGGCCTGGTCCTCGACAACCACAGGGCTTGGACTGCCCCGAGCCTTCTTGCCTTCGCGCCTTCTGCTCCGGCTGCGTCGCCTTCTCCGGTGTTTCGACTTTTGAACGATCCCTTCAAGACCTGGACTTCCGAGTAGCTTCACACTCCTCCTTGACGGCCTGTGAAGGGCCTGCCGACGGATGCTCTTTCCCAGGGTGTATGCAAATTGTGTATCAACATGAGAACGACGATCGCCAGACAACATCATAAAACCAATATCCCCAGCACTTGACTTTCTTTGGATCCCCCACAAGGGTTTAATCTTTGATGACTTCTTAGATGTAATATGACGTAATGGTTCACAGCAGCGAGTCCCCAAGGCCTAAAAACATGGCTTGTTCAGACTTGTTCATCACAACATATCACAACTATTTTCCAGGACGACGCCCTCCAAAAATGCTGAAAACTTTTAGTTTGATGTAGACTTTAAAAACACAATATTATGGATTGTAAAACCTCCTAAGCTTTATGCACGCTGTATTTTTCTATCATCCTACATAAAGTGCGTTTACAGCTCGACACCCCGCTTGCAAAGCAACACTGGGTGGTCGAGGAAAACGACCATCTCTTTGGGGATTCTGAGCAGCTCGGAATCAAAACCAACGCCGCCAGGCGCCAATCCGCGCCACATCCCCTTGGATTGACCACTTAGCGATGTTTTGTATTTTGTTTAAAGGCATATGTTGCTTTTAAGTTCATGTCCAAAATAAATTGCTATCCCATCATCTTTACTCAACTCTGCAGAGTGTGATACGAGTACAAAGATTCAATTCCAATTTGGTGTCTTGTGTTGCTGAACAAAACGAGCACACATATATACCGTACCACAAATGTGTGTCGGAACATCCTCTGACTATGACTACACTCAGAAACAGGTGAACCGTACTCCAAAGTGGGTACCGTCAAACAGCTTCGACCGATTCGATCCAAACACATCACGATGGTGGAACACCCTAGAGGTCCCATCTGACCCAAACCCTGTCCTTTACAGACCGTAAGTTGAGTGCTTTTGGTATGACCAACATCCTGAATGAGTGTCAGTGCTGAATAGTAGTGCTGAATGTGCTTCCTGTATGTCAGTGCATGTCCTGAGTGTCTTGATACCTGACATCGAACTGTTGGTCATCAGTAAGGTCCACCTATTCGATATGTCAACCTCTGGCCAGTGGCCACTGTCAAACAGGTCGGCCGGTCGAACGCCGGTCGAGCTGGCGTGGAAGGCAAACCACCGAGCTCGGGTAGGTACCCTCCTGCTATTCGGACCACATGGACCCCCATTGGCCCACTGGGTTGGTCTTCGGATGCCTTCGGAAAATGGTCTTCCACAGGTGAATTCTCACAGTCCATCTTAGTCTGCAGGGATGTAATCCCATTTGGTTCGAAAAACTAAAAACACCATGGACGACCAACCCATGGACCACCATGGACGGGCACCTGGTTCCTGGCGGATCCCCCGGTGATCAAACAGCGAAAACTGGTGCAGTCAAAGCACCTTGGGCTTGGGATCACGTGCCTGAGCTGTCGTGGAACAGATTTCGAAGCTTTCATCGGGTGAACATCCACTTTCTTAAGGCCGACTAAGTGGCCGCCACCTGGATGTCTTTCCCTCGCAAAGGATAGAGGTCCCTCGAAGTCTTTGTCTTTCTCTCAAGATCTTTGTTTCGTGGACTGCAGTTTGGAGGGGTACACATGACCGCTCGTGGCGAGAAGGTCGAGGGCGAGAAGGTCAACCTTATGGATCCAGGGCGCCAGGAGTTCGCAGCTTCCGGCCGCAAACGAATTCCTGGCGCCCCATAGTCTCCTTCCTCACCGCGCCAGATGCCCGGTCAGCCTCGAAGTGCTCGCAATCCGATTCCAAGGTGGTCAGCACCTTTGCCAGCAGATGAGTGAGCTCCCGGGCCTTTGAAGTTGGGTACCGATGGTTCACGACCTTCGATACCTTTCCAGCCAAGTAGCACGGGTCGCAGTAACCTGACGTGCCCACGGGGAGCTCAAGCCTGCAACCGAGGCAGGCCACCATATGCTGAAGCCAAAACACTAAGGAATAAGCATGAACCGGTGTGTTACTCTTTAATCCCGGGGGCGGGAGACCATATGTGTGTGTGTGTACCCCTTGGAATCATAGGGATCCTTTCGGATTGTTTGTCTTGAACTTCCTGGAGTCATAGGGATCCTGATGGATTTGCTTTTGTTTTCCTTTTTAACCTTTTGACAGTAGCTGCGGAGGAGGCCACCGGGGCGCTTGCTTGCCCTTACAAGGTGTTCCCAGTTTCAATAAAACTCTTGGCCTCTATAGGCACAAGCTCTTCACTGTCTCAACACTCCTCAAACACTCTGATCGCACAAGCTGTTTGATTCAGAAAGCTTCAATCTGTGATTTCTCACACAGCTTGTGCTTTCTGGTGATGTGACTTGATGTGGTTTCTCACGGAGATGTTGAGTCTGCTGACATCGGTGTGTTCACATGTGCCTCTTCCATTGTGAGCGCTGCTGAGCCTTGCTTGTGCTTTCTGGCTGTGGCCATCGTTGTCTGTTCTATGCTCTGTTGCCTCTGCTTGTTTCTTGAGCTCGTCCCCCTCCACTACCACAAAACAAAGTGCTAAAGCTACTGCTAATATTCAATGTGTACAGGCCTTTCATGGTTTATCCTGCTCAAGGGTTCTAGACAACTTGCTCAAAGGCTAGTGCTGGGCCCCAAATGGCAAACATATTTATCTCATGTTGGGAAGACATGTGTCGATATCTATCTATCTATCTATCTATCTATCTCCCTCTCTCTCTCTCCCTTCCTTTCCCCTTGGTTCTCTTTTCTCTTTCTCTGTCTTTTTTTGTAGCCTTGAAATTTGAAGATTAAGAACAACAGATTTCAGAGCTGGTTGATAAGAATTTGTTTTGAGACAAAGGGTACTGTTCATCAGCCCTTCTCCCTCCAAATATCCCAACCCCTTGCCCAAGGAAAATGAGTGCAAATCACAACGAATCTAAAGGAAGCACGCTCTGATTTAGAAAGGATCCAGGATATCCACAAACAAAACAATACGAGGGAAAACGGTTGAAGTTTAAACAACTTTTGTCTGTGTAGTCATGGATGGTGACCAGTCTTTTTTGAACCTTCCGGCCTTTGTCAAACCAAAGGTAGTTAATCAGGGTTGAAAATGGAAGAAGAGGAGTGATGAAATGTTACAAACAAAAGCAGCAGTCAAAGAAAGGACGAGTGCACTTGCTACACCGAGAACAAGTTTAAATTACTGTCCTCCGGAAGCTGCCCTAGATCAAGAGCAGCCAAGCAACCAATCCAGTAAAAGACTAGCTTTTGGTTGACTCTTTTCTCGACTCTAAGTTTTCGGTAAAGAAACATTCACTAAAAACTTGGAAACTGAGGACTTCTCACTTCTCCAAAAAGACCCGTCGATTCTCAGATGAGTCTGTTCCGTTTATGTGTTTCTATTTTGTTCCTTGTTCCGTTTCGATCCTCTGTTTCAACCGTTGTGTCGTGTGATCATGCTTCCAATGCTGAGCAACCCATTCGTAGAGAATGTCGGGCGTCTTTAAGGTCTGAGTGGAGTCTGTCTCATCCTTGTTCGCCTTCGGATGTGGTTCTGCCACCTGAAGGCCGGAAAACAAGGTCATATTTATAGATCTCTCAGGTGTTTGAAATCGATGATGAATTCAGACTTGACATGAAAACTGTTCAAAATGCTCAAATGACTTTGCAAAAGAAACCATGTGACTGCAAAAACAAATTGTTTCAATGATTGCACTACCTTGCCAAAACCCATGAGTGCAAAAAACTGCAGCACTGACATTGACTGTCATACAACTGCTCACCTCGCTGCTTGGAAAGCTGCTAACAACCACCAGAGCTGTGGCCAAAATAACCACCATGCAGGTCACCATCGCCATGTCAAAATTGAAGCACGATCAATAACTTGAAACCAAAATAACTGCGTTTGGCACGATGTGGACGTCCGCACAAGGATTCAGATTAAAACCGCTGCGGTCACCAAGAATCGCCAAAAATGCGAACACAAAATTCACAAAAATGCAAGAATACGGTCGAAAGGGTGAGGCAACAAAAACGGTCCATTTATTGCCTTGTTTTACATACCTTTGGGCTGTTCACCAAACACAAAAACCTTTCTGAGGTTGTTTTGCAGGTCTGTGGACGTTAGGGAATTTTCATCAAATGACCCATGTCGATTTTTGCTTGATCGAAAGACAAGCCACAGTTCAAATGAGATGCCCCATGCAAAGTTGCATCAAAGTTCGCGACCTTTCCAAGCTGACTGGGGAATTCCCAACCTTCCGCACACTCCAAGCTACCCTCGCCGCCAAATCCCACCCTTTCCCCACCCGCCAACACCTTACGCAGAAACCTTCCTCACAGACGACTCACAGGGTGCCCCAACCATCGCGATCCAACCACCATGCAACTCAACCCCGAAGCCCTTTGACCTCAAACTCCAGCAACCACATCACGCTTTGTGTTGCAGATTCTCAGCTGGATTGGGCCAGGTGACGGTTCATTCATTCCTTCCTTCTCGCAACCAATGTTTGACCAAAAACCGCCACACAACATTCAAGATGGCCTCGAATGCCGTTTGTCCGGCTGTTTGGTTTTCTTTGGTCGATCGAGGCGCCGCTACACTGCTCAACCTCTCCATGTCTTTCGATTCAGTGGTTTTTCGCTCGCTGTTGGTGTCTTGCAATGGCCTTTGCCGGACAACCAACTGCTCGATTCCAAACCTCGGACCTTCTTCCTGGCCTCCTTCAGAGCGGCAACACCAGCCACAAACCCGTGTCTGTGGGTCTGGCATGCCACGCACATTTCTTGAAACCATTTCTGGCTTCAGTTTGGAGTTGATCGGCTTTCATTTTTGATTGGGCAAAGCCAAAACTGGTTTCAATTTTGATGCAGCCGAAAAACGCGATCGGTTTGCAGAAGGTCAGCTGAGTCTCAACAGGGTGGATTCACTGATCAGAGCAAAGAGAAGAAGAAGCAGCAAGTTGAGAAGCAAACAGAAACCCAGCTACTCCAAAGTCAAGACACCTTGGAAACGGGGATTCAATGATTTGCATGAACAGACAAATCTATTTTTTTGAAATGCGCCAAAAAAAAAAACAAAAAAAAATTGTTTTTGATTGATAGATGCTCAAATTTCAAAAACAGGGACCTGGCCAAATTGAGTTTTTTGGAGGCAATGAACTTCAGTTGACCGTCCGATGCGCCAGAGTGATTGAGCGCTTTTCTACACTTCCGCATGAGCGCAAGAAAATTTGTGCTCAACAATGTCGACACAAAAAGAATGTCACGTCGTCCATGCTGGCACGTCTGTCTGTTGCGATTCGGTTTTGCAGAGTGCCTTGCAAAACCGTGCTTTTGCAAAACATCAGTCACACGCAGAAACCCAGAAGGTTGGGTCAGAAGGTGAAACATCCATTATGGTCCCTAAGTTGTGAAAACACACGGACAGCGCAGCAGTCCAAAAACCCAGCATTGAGGCTTTCAGCAAAAGCGTTCACGCAGCGAAAACAAGTCACAAGTCTCTGACTCTTGAGCTACACAGTCCAAAGACTGAGAAAGCTCCTCTAAGTGCAAGAACCAGCTGAAAATTCCACCAAGACCACTCTGGTTGAGACTCTCCCACAACCAAACAGCAAGAAGGAAACCAAAAACACAAAAAGAATCAAAACAGAGCCACATGTAGAACCATACTTCACACCAATTTGAGGCAGAGTCGGGACGAAAGCTGGCAGGAATGCATCCGTGTCAGTGGAGGCGAAGCATACAGCGCCGTCCAGTGACAAAGAACTGGTGGGACATCAAGCGGAGTGAGGCAAATCCTTTTTTTTACAGGCGGTTCACAAGGTCTCGCTCATGACGTAAAACGTTGTGAACATGCAAGACACACGAACAGCAATGACACAGCCAACCTGCAGCTTGTGAATCTGTCGAAGCTGTTGCATCGTATCCCAAAACCTCCACGGAGGTGTTGAACCAAAGTGGATGCCACAAGAGCTGTCCAAGAGGTGTCCGTTCCAGGCGTTCCAGGGGGGAGTCGAACCCCGTTGGCTAACGGTCAAAATCATCGTGGGCAGCCAAGCACGGTGGACAAGACCGTCGGTTCCTCTCTAACAGTGTTAGAGCCCTGTCGTGAGACAGATGTGCCCCATTCGTGTGGATGGGATGCTGACGACTGGGTCAGACAGGTACTCACGTCCATCGAGGTGAGAGGGCTCGATGTGAGTCTGCCACAGTCAGAATTGTTTCTGTTTCCACGTCTCTGAATTGTGTGAGAATTTATAGTACTGGGGAGGCCCACTTTGGCGACCCTGGAATCCACTGCGTTTTTGGCGCTTGGTTTTGGGGCCGTCAATGGACAAGATTTTCCCACGCGTCGTGATCCGCTTGGCCGCTTCACATTGTTCCTGATCAGTCAGCTGGTCTCTGGAAGCCGGGTGTCCCTGACGCAGGGCCGCGCAGGACCAGCTGGAGTGGAAACTGCAGGGAGAGAGCACGGGTCCTGCAATCACGCTGTGGGAGAATAGAATTATTTATAGAATAAAACAAGTTTGCAGGACCACCATGCCGACTTGCTTTTGGATACTAGTGGTCTCCAGTCCGACCTGCTTGTCGTGAAAGCGAGGGCCCGTGGGCCATTTTTTTGGGCAAGAGTCACAAAGAAGTGGGGAACAGCAAAGGTAGCCAGATTCACTGTGCCAAAAAATTTTCTGGGAGCAGCAAAGATTGCAAGATTCAATCTTTACTGTGCGACAAAGCTTCTGGGAACAGCAAAGGTAGCAAGATTCACTGTGCCAAAAATTTTTCTGGGAGCAGCAAAGATTGCAAGATTCAGCCTTTACTGTGCGACAAAGCTTCTGGGAACAGCAAAGGTAGCAAGATTTACTGTGCCAATAATTTTTCTGCAAGATTCAGTCTTTACTGTGCGACAAAGTTTCTGGGAACAGCAAAGGTAGCAAGATTTACTGTGCCAAAAAATTTTCTGGGAGCAGCAACGATTGCCAGATTCAGTCTTTACTGTGCGACAAAGCTTCTGGGAACAGCAAAGGTTGCAAGATTTACTGTGCCAAAAAATTTTCTGGGAGCAGCAAAGATTGCCAGATTCAGTCTTTACTGTGCGACAAAGCTTCTGGGAACAGCAAAAGTAGCAAGATTTACTGTGCCAAAAATTTTCTGGGAGCAGCAAAGATTGCCAGATTCAGTCTTTACTGTGCGACAAAGCTTCTGGGAACAGCAAAGGTAGCAAGATTTACTGTGCCAAGAAATTTTCTGGGCGATTGGAAAGTTAACGTGTCAAAACCTGTGCCAATACACGGTGAACACCAATCTCCGGCCCAATGGCCACACACGCGCATATTCCCCGGAAAACAAAACCTGTAAACACACGCAAACATGACAGGCTCCACGGCGCGAAACCTTCGCTTAACATCGCCCCACCCTTCTTTCCTCTCATCCAAAATTAAGACAGACCACAAAATACGAAGAATGAGTTCACAACGTTTGGTCTCAGGGCGCTAGGTCGACTCACGGCGGATGTCCACCACAAGCTTTGTAGCAAACAAACATGCACCAAGCGTGCAAGGCTGCAATCAGACTGCCGAAAAAAGCAGCTGACCATTGATCCGGAAGCTTGATTGCTTTCGATCAAGAACATCATACAGGCCAAACGCTTTCTCCCCAGCAATTCTCAACCCTCACAGGTTTTCCAAACTTTTTGCTCCTTCAAGGGATCGAAAAAAGTGATTTTTCTGGACACCAGTTTGGGGTCCAAAAACCCTAGCAAAAACCGGCCCCGCCACAGAGGGCCTCCCCAGTTCAAGAACATGTGTGGCCATAAATGTTCGCCGGGCGTGGAGAACAAGTGCCTGCGGCGCTGCAAAACCATGGAAAAGCAGCGGCATGGAAAACTTCTGTCGCGTAGAACTGTTTTGAGTGTGGTTTTGCATGTCCACAAATGTCCCGAGAACATTTGTGAACCTTGGAGAACGTTCGTCCCCTTGGCTCAAGTGTGCGGCGAAAAGTGTGCGTGTCTTTTGCCTGCTTTTTTTGTTTCGTCCCCGGTGGGTAGGAGGAGTCCTACGACTGCCGCAGGTCCACCTGAGAGGCACAAGATAGCGTCTGCCAGCCCAACTCCTGCAAGACGGCAGCAGGGTGGAGCGACAGCTCCGTTTCCAGGTACTGGGCGAGGTCCTCCAGCGAGGGGGGGAAAAGGCAGTTCACCTGGTGAAATCGGTGTTGGCTTCACGACCGCTCAGTTGGAGCAGCTGGGTGCTGCGATCCAATCTGCCGTTGTCCCGTTGTCGGACACTTTGACGAGAGAAGTCACTGCCTTGAGGGCACGAGTGGACTATTTGAATGCCAGGGTGGACACAGAGGTTGCGTCTAGAACTCCAGTGATCAGAGCTGCACCGCAAAGTGTTTCATCTGAAGGGTTGTCTGGAGTATCCATTACAGGTTTTGGTGAGAGACCGGAGTTCCCTCGTTCGAGTTTTCCGTCTTCACCACCGATGTCACGATCACCAGGTTTGTCAGCAGCGGCTGGC